TGAAACGTTGAAACAGCAATTCGGAGATCTCATTTCATGCTATTAACGTATTCTTCCGATTAAAGTACCGTAAATAACGGCGAACTAGCGGGTATAGTATTCGGAAGGACATATTATCTGGAGGGGTACTTAAATCGGAAATGTATGTGCCAGTATTGCCTAATAACGCGTTCATGTTACGGTGGTTTTGACGACGCCCTGCGTTGCTGGAGGGTTTGGAATACAAATCCCAAGGCTACGCGTATCTTTTGTGCAGTAGGAAGTGACTTGGACTACAGTACCGTAGAAGTCAATTCTCAAATTGCGCTCTGCAACCACTCCGTCCTGATGTTGTATACTGGCGAAAGAGTTCAACGAAGTACAGCTCATGAAATTGCTCGCCGGTTGCGGCGCCTACGTATCTATCGAAGTACCCATCGTAGTGTAGGTGGGACCGCAACTGAAGCGTGAGAGTTCCCCCTGCGACTGAAGTTCAGCTTTTAACTCCTCGGTTATTTTAACAAACGTCTACGCGTCTCGCCCCTGTTGACGCCACGCAGAATTTGTGCCATTTTGCCCCGATTAGTCCGATTGTTAGCGTTATCCAGCGTATTTAGGCTGCCGATCATTGGCATCGGAAGAATGAAGGTGTCCTGCACTTGATTGATCGCTGATCCGTTGATGCCTTTAATTTATGGTACAGTGTACCAATGCCATCATCACTTGGTTGGTTTTGGGCTGGAACCCGATCTAACTGGAAGTCATCATGACCCGTCTCTACAGTTTCACCTCTTTCCATTAAATGCCCATAAACGAGTCTAGTTTTGGGTATCTCCAATTCACTATTCTGGGCCCTGATGATGCCAATCACCTAGTCGACCTGCTTCAACGTCCGAACGGCAGGCATGTACCGCGAGGTCTTTGCAGCACACGTACGTGTGTGTATGTATGGGCACCTCCATTCGAGTCATTCTGGAATTTCCCGTCTGCCTGCCACAACCAACCGCGCCAGTAGTCCAAGGGATCTGCCATGAGCTCACCTGTTGCTACGCCCGAGCTCAGCTACGAGTCTGGCAAGACTCTCATGGCCAAGGGTCCGCAAGTGTTGCACGACCTCATGGCCACCAAGATCCCTGCTGCAACAGGACGTCCCCTACCGGAGATGGAGGTGCGCTTCAGCAACCTATCGCTATCCGCCGACATCGTGGTAGCCGACGACCACGCCACTAAGTACGAGCTCCCGACGATCCCGAACGAGCTCAAGAAGACACTCATGGGTCCCAAGAAACTCACAGTCCGCAAGGAGATCCTCAAGAACGTCAGTGGCCGCTTCGCTCCGGGCAAGATCACGCTGCTATTGGGTCAACCGGGTTCTGGCAAGTCAGCGCTGATGAAGGTACTGAGTGGCCGATTCCCTATGAGCAGGAATATCACAATGGAGGGGGACATCTCGTTCAACTCGGTGGCGCACAAGGACATCGTGGATCGACTGCCGCAGTTCGTGTCGTACGTGAACCAGCGAGACAAGCACTTCCCCACGTTGACAGTCAAGGAAACTCTCGAGTTCGCCCATACTTTTTGTGGCGGGAAGTTGCTGGAACAAGGCAAGGGGATGCTCGAGATGGGGCACCGTACCACCGACGCCGAAGCGCTTGAAGCCACCAAGAACATCTTCGCACACTACCCGGAGATTGTGATCCAGCAGCTGGGTCTGCAAATCTGCCAAGACACTGTGGTCGGTGACAACATGTTGCGTGGTGTGTCGGGCGGTGAACGCAAGCGTGTGACGACTGGCGAGATGGAGTTCGGTATGAAGTACATATCGCTCATGGACGAGATCAGTACGGGTCTCGACAGTGCAGCCACGTACGACATCATCAACACTCAACGCAGTGTAGCTCATAGACTGCGCAAGACCGTCGTGATCGCCCTACTGCAACCGTC